CAGGAGTGATCATATGTAAACCATGGGCTTTGGGTCATTGTAATGTTTCAACATAGGTTCATCGATTGTAACAAAGGTACCATTCTGATGGGAGATACCAATGATGGGGGAGGCGATGCATGTGTAGAAGGAGGAGGTATAGGGGGAATCTCTGCATTTTCCTGTCAATTTCATTGTAAACCTGAAACTGTTCTAAAAAAAAAATAGACTCTTCATTCAAAATGAAACAGAAAACTCCAGGTAGCTTATAAACCATGCACGCATTCCAATCCCAACTAAAAGTTCCTCACTTTACTTCCCAGAGCTGTTATGAAATGTGAGATAACCAATCCAGCCTTTCTTTCAGTTCAGACACTGATGAGGATGAAAAAGATAATTTTGAAAGAAAATGAATTCCTATTCGCTCCATCAAGGGAGAACACATTTTCTCCACAGAGGCTGTCAGATACACTGGGAAATGCATTCAACACAGAGCCAATCTGTACCTACTTCAGTAAGAAATGTTTCCCGTCTAAGCACCTTGATTACAGGCAGCTGATATTTCTCAAATGCACCAAAATCCATTCAACAAATACGTGTGGAGTGTCGCCAGGCACAGGACCGCAAGCTCAGTGCTGCAGGCGTTTCGAAGGCGAGTTTCTGCCAAAGAGCTTCACCTATCAGCTTCGCTGAAGGAATTTCCTAGCTCTGCTGTGTTGCAATCATGGATGTTTGGAGAACAGTTACGTGCAATAGACAGAATAATTATACAAGAAAAGAGCCACCGTGAGTCCTTATGAGAAAGCAAGCTGCTTCCAAAAGAGGGTTTTGTGACTTCTCCCCGCTTCTTTGAAGAGCTGTTATTCTGCTACCAAGAGGCAGAAGGAAGATGAGGCTATGGAAAGATAAAAGCCTGTCGGGGATTCCTGGGAAACTTCTCAGAGCCGATTCGGCATCTAGGCCGTGGTCGCCAGCGCTCACCTAATTTTAGAAATCGGAAGCTCTGGGTAGCTGCAGTGTCTGATGGCTACAACCCCATCAATCCTGCTCACGCTGGGTGAGGTTCATTTATTTTCAATTAGCATTTATTGAGTTCCTATCTTGTACTGAGCTCCGGATGGAGAGAATGGGAGATAAATAAGCTACTTTTTTGGGGATACAATAAGCACTTGATAACCATACATCAAATATGTATAGCTAACCCAGGTTGGGGGCTCGATCTCCAGTGGGGGGCATGCAGGAGGCAGCTGATCAATGATTCTCTCTCATCATGGATGTTTCTCTCTCTCTCCCTTCCTCTCTGAAATCGATAAACAAAATATTTTTTTTCTTTTTTATTTTTTTAATCCTCACCAGAGAATATTTTTTCCATTGGTTTTTAGAGAGAGTGGAAGGGAGAGGGAGGGACAGAGAAAAACACCAATGTGAGAGAGACGCATCAATTGGTTGCCTCCCATATGCCCCGGACCAGGGCTGGGAGCCTGCAACCCAGGTACATGCCCTTGACCGCAATCGAACCCGGGACCCTTCAGTCCACAGGCCAATGCTCTATCCATTGAGCCCAACTGGCTAGGGCTAAAATTATCTTTTTAAAAATAGTGTGCATACAATCCAAGCGACCTCCTCGGATGCACATGGACCACACAGGTGCGAGCCCCGAACCCTCCCCTGGAGCTGCCACCACCGTCGAGGCTGCAGCTGACCCTGGACCAGAGAATCACCAGGCCTTTAACCTTACAGCTAACCCAGAAGAGAACTCCATTCAGTCCTAAATTAAACCCTGAAAGGCCACGTGCCCTCCTCTCTCTCCCATCCCCACCACCTCTTTCTTGGGCTCCCTATGTACTTCTGGGACTATATTCTGAGCCATGTTCTTGCCAGAGGAACAACCTCATTTCCTCTTTTTCTTAGTTCCAGCACAAGGTATGTGTACATCCTTGCTCCACTTAACTATGGGGCCATATCCTGAGAAACGCATCAGTAGGCGGTTTTGTGCCGCCATCATGGAGTGCACATGCACACAACTAGATGCATCACCTACTCCCAGAATGGCACGTGCTATCCTCTCATCTGATTGGCAGCTTGGTAGGTTTGTTTACACCCGCATCACCGCAAACACATGAGCAATGTCTTGTACTAAGACTTTTCGATGACTACAACATCACTAGGCATGGGAAATTTTGCTCCCTTATAATCTCACGGTCCCATGGCCGTAAACACTGTCCGTCTTTGACTGAAACATGGTTATACGTGGCTGTGCTTGTGTTTACGATCCACCCAGGTATCATTCCCATGCTCTTCTCCGTTTCCTTTCCCTGGTCTATAACCTCACTTTTCCCATCCCCAGCCACTAGACACACACTTTCATCCCTTTTTAAAAAAAAAAATATATATATATATATATATATATATATATATATATATTTATTTATTGATTTCAGAGTGGGAGGGAGAGGGAGGGAGGGAAGGAAGGAGGGAGGGAGAGAGAGAGAGAGAGAGAGAGAGAGAGAGAGAGAGAGAAACATCAATGATGAACAGAATAATTGATCCACTGCCTCCTTCACGCCCCCTACTGGGGGATGGAGCCTGCAACCCGGGCATGTGCCCTGAAGGGGAATTGAACCATGACCTCCTGGTTCATAGGTTGAAGCTCAACCACTGAGCCACGCTGGTCTGGTTCGACACATATTTTCTTTTTTAAAAAATATATTTTATTGATTTTTTTTACAGAGAGGAAGGGAGAGGGATAGAGAGTTAGAAACATCAATGAGAGAGAAACATCGATCAGCTGCCTCCTGCACACCCCCTACTGGGGATGTGCCCGCAACCAAGGTATATGCCCTTGACCACAATCAAACCTGGGACCCTTCAGTCCACAGGCCGACGCTCTATCCACTGAGCCAAATCCGTTAGGGCTCGACACACATTTTCAAACATTTCCGTTATGTGCTCTGAGACTCCTTCCCCTGGCTAATGGACAGCGAGCATTGCCTGCAGCCCTCGCAAGGTGAGATCCAGGCTACTCCTTTCTCTCCCCCAGAGCTGCCCTCCCATCACTCAGAAAAGCCACTTTCCTTGGGGTCTCACGTTCACAGCTAGATCAAAGCTTCCTAAAGCCCGATCATCCCTCGTAATAGCACCAGAGCCTAAGAAAAATGCCTGCACACTGTGGTTTCCACCATTAAAACACGTGCCTGCGCGATCCAAGTTCTCTCGTGGGAGAAGAGCGTAGTACGAGTATCCATTAAGCTTCACATGAACTGTGAATGGATATTTCTCTCTCTCAGTATGCGTACAAGAAGCTCTACTGTATAATTCTACTTGATAGCCATATAATAAACACACTTACAACAATGATGTCTTCTATTAGAAAATACACTTTAAGTTCTTGTTTATATCATTGAAATTGATTTCTGAAAAAAAAAATCCATTTCTCCTCAGCAACCTCAAGCTAAGTATCTGTAACAATACCCTACCTTACAATACTTTTAAATTAACTAAAACATCTTTCATGCCAGCTACATTTTAATCTGTCCAGCATAACTGCTATTTATACATTTACTTACTCTTTATAATTTAAGTCCTACAGTCAGAAGTAAACTAACTATAAATGTGTGATTTACATGTACAGAACTCTTTTTCCCAACCTCATCCACTAGCAATATGGAAGATGGGTAGTATTATTTGAGTAACCCTTAAGCTAAAGATATTTCTATGTCACCTCTATTCTCTCCTGTACATCATCACAAAAGATATTTCTTGGGCTAGTTTTATCTAGCATTCCCAGATAGTGAAGGCCTAGCTTTTAAATTAGCCGACCAAAAAAATCTACACAGGTTAATTTTAAACTCATAAAGAAAATACATTTAAAGACTGTTTTTTACAATAATAATGAATTGTCACAGTTGAAACAAAAAGAAATGTTCTCTGTATTTTATTTTATTCTTGTGAACTTAACCCAGGATCACACCAGCACACTATGCCAACTCTCTGGTCTGTTAGCTTTGCAGTGGCTCTTGGCCAAAACAATACGTGTTGACCTAAATTGCCAACGAAATATGGCCAAAAGTCTATTGTTTTGGAAACCACAATCACTTTCTCTCTCTCTTTTGAAAAAAAATAAAATATTAAAAAAGAAAGAGACTCATCCTCCCTTTCTCTCAGCTTTGGTAAAGTTAACCTAAATATAGTCACAAGCAAAGGACTTCAGTGAACACATGAGGTTCATCCACGAATTCTAGATTATGCTGTATCGTGACTTCTAGAAAGTTATAACCAAACATCTGTACCTCATTTTAATAGCATTGGGGAAAATACTGCTTAAAGCAGACTTCTTAATGACTGTTGTGTCATTGCCCACTTTGAGTCATCCCCGTCTAAGGACAACGTTTTTAAAATGCATAAAATAAAATATGAAGATTAACCCAAAAAATCAATGTTATTAAAACAATATTTTTATCTATGCACAGTCTGTGAGGAGCCTGTGTATCCCAGGTTCAACTGACATAATTCAAGGACACTCCAGTTAATATTTTGCCATGAAGAACCTTGACCCAATTATCAAGTTAAAAAAATTACATCAAGACACACACTCCATTTCATTTTCAATGTATTACATACCTCACGACAAGAGGGCATGTTGACATAATTCTAGAACACAATTATTTAATTCAGTGGGACATGCCAATAATCAGAGGTGGATTTTGTTATTGTTGATAATCCTCACCCCACGATATTTTTCCATTGATTTTTAGAGAGCGGGAGGGAGGGGTAGAGACGCAGAGAGAGAAACAGCCATGTGAGAGAGACACATCGATTGGTTGCCTCCTGCACAGGCCCCAACCGGGTGGGAGATCCAGCCTGCAACGGAGGTACGTGGCCTTGATGGGAATCGAACCCTGGACCCTTCAATCCTCAGGCCGATGCTCTATCCACTGAGCCAAACCAGCTAGGGCTCGAGATGGATTCTAGAGATAGGAGAGAGAATGGCATGGCGGACATGAGGGCGAACTCCCTCCTACCTTTATGGCAGTGGATGCAATCTGGATGTGGTGCAGCCTCCTCAGGGTGCTGTCCCTGTCGATGAAGTAGGAGGCAGCAAGCTGATGCAGCGTCTCCAGGGTGACCGAGGAGCTGTTGGTGCCGGAATCAGCTCCTTCCGATCCTCTGCTCAGCTTCCGCTTGTCCACAAAAATGGTGAGCGACTCCTCTCCTGCATTAAACGTATGGGACATTATTCCATTTCCCACTTAAAATCCAATTTTTCAATTACCTGCAAGGGAGGACATATCAGACACGGTGAAACGAAAGAGTGATCAACAGCAAAAGGGCAAATCTTATATTTATTTTTAAAAATATATTTATTGATTTCAGAGAGAGGAAGGGAGAGGGAGAGAGAGAAACAGAAACATCAATGATGAGAGAGAGTCATTGATCGGCCACCTCCTGCACGCCCCCACTGGGCATGTGCCCTGATCTGGAATCGAGCCCAGAACCCTTCAGTAGGCAGGCCGACACTCTATCTACTGAGCCAAACCAGCAAGGGCCAGACTGGATTACTGTTTGCAGTTACTGCTTGTGCCATGGATGCAAATGTGAGTAAAGGTCCAGTGTTGAGAAGAACCATGTGCTGTTCATGAATGACTTCCGTTAGCCTGGGTATTGCAGAGGAAAGTGCTTAGCTCAGTGGGAGACAGGCAAACCGGATATGCCATGATCTAGGACACGTCTGGAGAGTCATGGCAACGCTACAACCATTGTTTTGCTTTTCTCCTTTAACAGGAAGACAGCATGGTCCAAAGAGGAGGCACCAGAAAGGATCATAGGGGACCCAGGTCAACATAGATGACACCAGGAATACACAGTTCCTGTTCCAGTTACAATCCACAGATTTTTAAAATATATATATTTTTATTGATTTCAGAGAGGAAGGGAGAGGGAGGGGCATAGAAACTGCAATGATGAGAGAGAATCATTAATCTGCTGCCTTCTGGGCATGTGCCCTTGACTGGAATCGAACCGTGACCTCCTGGTTCATAGGTCGACGCTCAACGACTGAGCCAGTGGCTCAGTCACTGGGGCCACAGAGATTTTTAAAATTGCAACCAAGCTAACCCTTCTAGGTGGGTTTGTCTACTGACCTGTAATGTTTACCATTCCACCCAGAATGAAAAGAAAGAAGTGTGTTTAGGGCCGATGTCTTCCTGGTCATTCTATTTCCTTCCACTCAAAGATCTCCCTGTGAATATCTGTTTTACTCAAAGATCTCCCTGTGAATATCTGTTTTGCTTTTGTGCGAGTTTTACTTCTAAAGTACGGCTATTTGAGTAGAAATCCTTCTTCCAGAAATAACCATTGCAAAAGTAGCTTAAATCTAATTGTAGGCTTTCCTTTCGATGTGTCCTTTTAGTTTAAAAATGTTATTCTATTTTCGGTAAAGACAGATCTGATTATCCCGTGAACTAAAATCCGTGGGTTATTTTGGGGATTGCTGTCCTTTTAGAAATTATATTTCAGTTCCCACCGTGTTTGCTTTGCTTTTGCTACCGATGACCATCCTTCTTTGGCCTAATATGTTAAAAGGCACTCGTTCCGATAATATCTATCTTTCTACTAAGATAATGTTATAGAAAATAAGCGATTTGAAAAGCAAACAGACATAATGGGGGGAAAAACAATCTTAGAAAAATAGGCTTCTGACAAGAAGCAGAACCAAATATATAAAGACGGTAAAAAACAGACATGTTGGCTTAACACCAATTGGCATCTGCGAAGTATTACAGGAAGGGAACGGCAAGCCTTATGCAGCTTTGAGAAAGAAACATCGTATGTTTTATAAAACACTCTGAAGGAAAACTGACCTTATGACTATTAACAGGAACCTCCCAAATACATCTGAAATGTTTCTAAACAAAATTGCCCACCGTACCGTATTCCTCTCTATGGAACAATAAAATGTGGGGTGGCGGGGGAGAGGAATTGGAAATAAATAGTTCCAAGGTTAGATGAAATGAATCCGCCCTGAGTGAAATATAAAATATAATTAAGTTACTTCTATTTTGGAGCTGTTTACTAACAATGCTATAGTGAACATTTCTGTTGTGTATGGTTAGCAGATTCCTGCTATTCTTCTGGTGAGACGAATTCTCAGAAGGGAGATTTCTGGGACACTCAGGAGCACTCTACATTTATAGAGAAGCTCTAAACAGTGCTCTTCAAACGTAATGTGCATATAAATCACCTGGAGACCTTGTTAACGTGTGGATTCTGATTCATTAACCTGAGATGGAATCAGAGATTCTGCATTTGTAACAAGCTCCAAGGTGATGCTGGTACTGTGGGAGCGTGGACCACGCTCAGGTAATGAGGCTCTAAATCACAGCACAATTTATTACCAGTTTCAAAGTCTGTCTTTATCAGTGACCTGTGTGTTCCTCTAAGGAAGGTCTTGGGTGTTTGAACTGTTATAGGTAACTCAGCACAGACTTGTCAAATGAGTGGGCAGGAGATTTATCTACCTTAGCAAAGGGCCATGAAGAAGAATAAAAAAATATATAATCAACTTTCTACGACTCTAAACTGAACATTTATCTTTGACTTAGTGTCAAGGAATCTTATGACCAAGATCAACTGACATAACAATTTTAACCTCATTTCCTTCATTATCTTATTATTATATCTTATTATTGTTTACATAAGTAGTTTGAAGTCCTTTTAGTCAATAACTGCTTACAATGAAAATTTAATGCACAGTATTGCTTTAATTTCAAACTTTTTATTTTGTTTACCAGAGAAACATGAGAGATAAGATGAGAGACTGAACAAGAGAGCAAGACAGAGAGAGAGAGAGAGAGAGAGAGAGAGAGAGAGAGAGAGAGAGAGAAACCAATATAATTAATCTTAAGTAGTATGAGTAAAAAAATATATATTTTTATTGATTACAGAGAGGAAGAGAGAGGGAGAGAGAGATAGAAACATCAATGATGAAAGAGAATCATTAATCGGCTGCCTCCTGCATGCCCCCTACTGGGGATGGAGCTCCCAACCCAGGCATATGCTCTGACTGGGAATTGAACCTTGACCTCCTGGTTCATAGGTCAACACTCAACCACTGAGCCACACAGGTCAAGCTAAATAGTTAGTTTTAAACACCAGCATTCCAGTATTTTTGCTCCTTTAGTGCCATTATTTTAACGATTCCATGGGATAAGAAGCTTCAGAAATTATTTCTTTTCCTTTCAGTTCTTTTTCTTAAAACAGAATATGCATCCTCATAGAGGAAATAGTGCCATGCATTTTCAATAAGTCTTCATATTTGCTTAAGAAATAAATTACATATATTTTTGACAGATTTGCTTCCTTAATTAGGTTAAACCTAAACTAAAATAAATGTGTACTTCCTAACAAGAGACCAAGTGAAAAGGAGAAAGACAGCCATTAGTCAATGTGGGAAGAAGGTAGAATATGACATGGAATGAAAATCTGTGGATATTTTATGCAGAATGTAATTCACACAGAGATAAGTGAGAATTGGGTATTTCTGAAATTAAATGAGGATATTTACATTTCTTATACTTCTTTGTAATGTAAGAAAATAGAAAAACATCTAATTGATATTCAATCCATATGGCATCTTATGGGGAGAGATAGAGAGAGAGAAACACTGATGTGAGAGACACATTGGTTGGATTGGTTGTCTTCAGCATGAGCCCCACCCAGGGCCAGGTATCCCGTCCCCAATCTGGGCATGTGCCCTTGACCAGAATCAAACCCTTTTTCTTTGTTGTATGTCTATATTCAGCACACAGATACACTTTTATTTCCATATGTGTCATATGTTTATCATAAAGAAATTTATTATAACAACAGTCATGAAATATAGTTCTTGGCTAGGAATCAATATATCCCGAGAGTGCAATCTTTTTCAAGATTGATTCTGCAAATTGAGGAGCTTATTTTAGATATTTAAGCAGTGATGGAGTTTAGATATCATTATAAGAAGAGAAACAGCTGAGTTTCTATATTGATAAATAGCCTGGAAGCTATAAGATGAAATAAATGGAGAAAATGACATATATATTGAAGAAGGCTTCTTATAATTTATTTACCCCTATAGGAAGGTAATTCAATCGCTGGCTTTATCTATCATAAAATACTCCATCGAAGGCTTCAGATTTGCTATCCAAAGTTTTATGTCTAAGTTAATAATATGATGTCCTAAATTACTCTTTTTATTTATTCATATTTTTATTTCTTTCCTTTTCATCACTCTAATACTGATAGTGACTATTCTACACTCAACTTGTTTTAAAACATGTTTGAATTTAGTTGAAAATCTTGTTACTCATGCAGTCCCTAGTGACAAAATAAATGGCAATGTGTTTAAAATGTTTGCTCTACACATGGCATTCGTGGTGTGTTAGCATTGGAGTTGTTTCCTAGTATGAGTTAGTTAAGGACAGTGAGAGAGAATTAACTGAAGTTATATACCAACAATCTGAATTTTTTAAAAAAATGGAGTAATACAATTTCATGCCCAGTCAGGTAAAACGTACGAAGATAAAAATATTCTTGCAGCAACAAGAAAGCTTTCGTGTAATTACAACAGCAATCATTCTAAAATTGCCTAAAATCAACCTGGTACACATGTTAATTGCAAATAGCTTATATCCATAAGCCACTCTAATAATTTCATATATTTTAGCTAAATTATTAACATCACACAACAGACACCTGAGGAGAAATCTAAATAACAGTGAGAGGAGAGAAAGAACTCCAACAGAAAATACCAGGAACACTAAGTCACTGGAGACTCAGAGATTAGAAGGTGAGTGAGGGTGGCAATTCCAACAACCCTTGTATAAAAGGACTGAGCAAGACTTTGTAAATAACTGAAGCACAGAATTTTGAGATCGCCTATTGCGATCCTGGGAAGAGTCAACCTGAAGAAGTGATTTAATCTCACACAAAACCTACAAAACCAAAACTAATCTTAAGCCCCAAATGTGGCATCCATAATGCCAACGCAATGCAACAAATCAAAAAGTCACCATCATTTTGCAACTAAACAAATAAATGTCCATGAGAATCCTCTACTATCTGACCTCTCTGTGTTCTCTCTGTCCCTTCTTTTCTTATTTGGAGGATATATTTTATGCCCTGAAATTCTTCTGAGTCCCTATACTGCTGAGAGTGGCAGGGAAGACTTATATGTGATTTGTTTTGTTAATCCTCACCCTAGGATATTTTCCCATTGATTTTTAGAGAAAGTAGAAAAGAGAGAGAAAGACAGAGAGAAATATTCATGTGAGAGAAACACATTGATTGGTTTCCTCTTTCATGCACCCTGCCCGGCCAGGGCCTGAGCTGGGGAAAAGCCTGCAACCGAGGTACGTGCCCTTGACCAGAATTGAACCCAGGACCCTTCAGTCCACAGGCCGACGCTCTCTCTACTGATCCAAACCAGCCAGGGCTATATGTGTTTTGAAACCACTGGATTTTTTAAATGAGACCCTATGGAAATAATATTCTACTGTTACTTCAGCTTTTATTGCATCAATAATAACTGGCATTATTAAGCCCAACAGACAGAGCTTTCTCAGAATCTGTTTTCATAATCATTAGGATATTTTGTAAGTTTCTGCTGTCCACACTTTTATAACATCACTAACATAAACTAAGTGATACTCATCTACCACACATGGTACCATTGTCAACACCACACAAGGCCTTTAGGAAGAACTCAATGAATGTGTTGAATAAGTTCATGAGGGGATTCTAGAATTATTCAAACTGCAGCTCTCTGGATTAATCGACACTTTTCCTTCATTTATACAGTTTTACACACAAGCACACACAGGCACAAGTATTTGCAAAGAGTCGTACCTCCCAGAGTAGCAGAGAGCAAGAAATGGGTCCCATATTTCTTGATAAGGTTTTCTGTGATTTGCTGGAGGGTAGGCCGACGTCCCAAAAGTCTGATGTTACGGAAGAATTCGGGGGCAAGAGGCAGAGGGGAGCCGAGGAAATTTCTTCTCTCAACTGCCAGGTTATTTACTTTCCAGCGGCCAAACTCCCTGAAAAGCAAATTTATTTTTTATTCAGAAATACATAATCTAGCTGAAGGTTTTCATTTGTCAAGTTCACTTGGTAGTTTAGCTGGGGTCACTAGGTTCCTTACAGCACTCCTTACTTATAATACTATGTCACGTGTTCGGAGTAGGAAAAGCAATATTTATCCATTTATTTAATTGGAGTACATATTCTAAAACCAGGTCATGTCGAGGAAAAATAAAGCCACCTAAACAGTTCACACTGATTCCCCACAGCCCCAAGAAGCAATGCACTCTTAAAAAAAAGTCATTTCATTATGCATAGAATTTGAATGTAAAGTTGTTAAAAAGGAAAAACTAAAGTCATATTTTTTCATTTCTAAGGGAAGTTGAAAAAAAAGAGAATGAATTTATTTTCATTCACTCTAATGATTCTATTCACTTTAGAGGGAAAATGTAAAAACTCAAGGACATTCTGAAGCTGTAGAAGAATTTTAAAAGCCTGGTCAAATGAGAAACTGTTTTCTGTTTGGTTGGGTTTTTTTTTTTTTTACAATAATTATTGTGGACAACATACTTTGAAACCCAAACTCAACCTGAGTAGCAATTTCTCAAACTGCAGAATGACTTTTAATGGATGTGCCAAATTTAAAAAATGGCAGGCATGGTTATAAAACGGTTTTAACAAATTTGTCATTTTCTGAAATCAGTTAATAAAACCAACCCCCCCCCCAAAAAAAAGCATTTCATTAATAGTTTACTCTTTACTGTCTATTATTATCAAAAATCTTGCTAATAATATAGACGAGTGTAGGAAAACCTCTGACCTCAAGGGCTCAATGATAATAAGCAAGATAAAATGGGGGTGAATTCCTTGCAATTCAGAGACTTTAAAATATTTGTATGTGAGCCCGGCCAGTGTGGCTCAGTGGTTGAGCATCGACCTATGAACCAGGAGGTCACTGTTCTATTCCCGGTCAGGGCACATGCCCGGGGTTTTGGGCTCGATCTCCAGTAGGGGGCGTGCAGGAGGCAGTTGATCAATGATTCTCTCTCATCATTGATACTTCAATATCTCTCTCCCTCTCTCTTCTTCTCTGAAATCAATAAAAATATATTTTTAAAAAGTAAAAAAAAAATTAAACACAGTTCTTTTTATGTCAAGCTACCAAGATTAAGGGATTATTAGTTCGTTTTATTTGCTTACTTTCTAACAAGATCATCTAGCACAGTGGTTCTCAACCTTCCTAATGCCGCGACCCTTTAATACAGTTCCTCATGTTGTGGTGCCCCCCAATTTCATTGTTACAAATTGAACATAATTAAAGCATAGTGATTAATCACAAAAACAATATGTAATTATATATGTGTTTTCCGACGGTCTTAGGTGACTCCTGTGAAAGGGTGGTTCGACCCCCAAAGGGGTCGCGACCCACAGGTTGAGAACCGCTGATCTAGCACATCATGACGGACTCAGAGCACTTTGACCTTGGGGTAACGTGAGAAACAAGAAGGACCCAATGACTGTGCAGACGTTGCAGTCTTGGGGTGCAGTGTGTTTTTCTTTCCTGAAGATTGAGGTTCACCTGAGTTGCAGCTAGACCAGGCATTCATTACATTTTGGAAAAAAGAAAGCCACGGGGTGCCGGATGGAAAACACGCTGAAGGGTATGGTTATCACAAGAAGAGCATTTTCCTGAGGCTTCTGGGGGATCCATCCCAGCAGACGCGTTATGCTGATATTAACTAAGAGCACTGTTGTATGGAAATAATGCCGCCTGTTACCTGAAGCCTTCCCACCATAACGCTGGGCATCTCGGATGAAATAGGCCCAATCATTAGAGTTTAATGTAACTTGGCCCTTTTAGAGGTGCCGCTGTTCTGTAGAGCACACAAATGGGCCATCACCAGCGCAGCCAGAACATTACTTTGAAAATGTTTTTGTTGGCACGAAGGAGCCTCTATTAGTTGATTAGAGTTGCATGTTTGCTGCTCAAAATGCTGACCTGCGGGCGTCCATTATTCCGTGTGTCCACGTAATGTGTACTTTTCTGCCACAATAGGTATTGTCATTTATCCTGACCCTTCTCCTAACAAAGCCGGGGAAACAAGAATGGTATCAACACATTCTACTTCAATAATGCTTACGTCATTGCCACATTGCTGTTAACCTTTTTTTAAAATTAGTATTTAAGTTCTATGTAAATACATAAATATACTCATTGTATTTAAAATATACTCTCTACTGTGATTTCTTTAAAATGACACATGTATAATTGGTCCCCCCAACTACAGGAGCTACGACTGTTGATATTAGATATTTTGGACTCAATATCAAAGGGGAAAGCAGCATAAAGATTAGATGATGCAGCCCAGCCAGTGTGGCTCAGTGGTTGAGCGTCAACCTATGAACCAGGAGGTCACGGTTCAATTCCCGGTCAGGGCACATGCCTAGGTTGCAGGTTCGATCCCCAGTGTGGGGCGTGCAGGAGGCAGCCAATCAATGATTCTCTCTCATCAATGATGTTTCTATCTCTATCTCTCTCTCTTCCTGCCTCTCTGAAATCAATACAAATATATTTTTTAAAAAATTCAATAATGCAGTTGCTCAAATATCTTTATCTGTTCATTTACACCAAATAAAGTGGCTTGTTTAAGCCCTAAAGAAGATTATTACATTACCTTTCACAGTACTACACTGGTTGGCTTATAATTTTAATTCTATCAATATTCATTGAAATTTGCAGGCACTACAGCATATTAAAACCAAATGTAACACCTAGCACTAATCCACTGCGAACAAACCTACTAAAAATCATAAACGGACTCGCCAATCTTCAGTAGCAGTAGCCTTCTAATTATATCTGTAAAATCATACCCATCTTAAGAAATCACTGAGCCACACCGGCCAGGCACTATGTTCTCTCGACTACAGCATGAAATCAAGTACAATGGCGGTGGGATTATAGAGAATTTTTTAAAGAATGGTCTGGTGTGGCTATTGATATGTACTTCTAGTTCCTAAAATATTAGCATAAAAATCATAAACGGACTCGCCAATCTTCAGTAGCAGTAGCCTTCTAATTATATCTGTAAAATCATACCGATCTTAAGAAATGCCACTAATAACCAATATTCAGGTTCCCTGATTGCATTATGTGCAACGACTAGATATAAAATTAGCTCCTTTGACATCCTTTCGGTGTAGCTCCCGCATCTCACAAGCGATGCCGTCTTCCATTTGGCCTGGAAAAGGGAAAAGTTCCCAGTGGCCTGGAGGACAGGGGCCCTGAAGCCAGCGCTGTTGAAGCAGCTGAATGCTAACCAGTTGGCAGGCGACACCAGCCACTTTCTTTGGTCGCCTGACTGGAGACACCGAGGCCACATTTTTTATCACTTCCCAGTCCTGGGGGGCTTTAAAGCTTGGAAGGTATTTTTGGAGGAGGCTGGGGATTTCGCAGCATAAATCGATGCACATAAAAGCACATGGCAACCATGAGTTATGTACGGTATTTACATGCAGGGTTTCTGAGAAGCTCCATTAATGACTAGGGTCTTTGGAAGGAGCTGCCAAATTCTGAGTAGATTAGAGGACACAGATTAGCATGATTGCACAAAACAGCGCCCCTCCCTGGAAAACAGCAAGAATGCCTTGTAGCTATGGCATCTTTAAAAAAAGAATTTTTTTAAATTGATTTCAGAGCGGTAGGGAGAGGGAGAAAGAGCGAGAATCATTGATCGGCTGCCTCCTACTGGGGGTCGAGCCCGCATGCAACCCGGGCATGTGCCCTGACCAGCAATTGAACCCTGATCTCCTGGCTCTAAGTTGATGCTCAATCACTGAGCCACACCGGCCAGGCACTATGTTCTCTCGACTACAGCATGAAATCAAGTACAATGGCGGTGGGATTATAGAGAATTTTTTAAAGAATGGTCTGGTGTGGCTATTGATATGTACTTCTAGTTCCTAAAATATTTTTAGGGCTATGGAATGACTGAAAGTTATTTAATTTTATCTTATATCATTTTAAATCATATTCTGTAGTATAACAGATAGGGTCTTATTTAAATTTTTATGAAAATAATGCAGAATTCAGTTATCATGGTCACTGCCATTATTCCCAAAGGTAATTAATTTAATGGGATATCAAGGTGCCACATGTTTGTATGATCACAGATATAAGTAATATAGTAATTTATATTATCCATGTTTGAATTAAACCACTTGTTTGAACAGAGGCTAGCAAAAGTGTTAATGTAAAAAATATACATGCAGCCCTGACTGGTTTGGCTCAGTGGGTAGAGCGTTGGCCTGCGGACTGAAAGGTCCCAGGTTTGATTCCAGTCAAGGGCATGTACCTTGGTTGCGGGCACATCCCCAGTAGGGGGTGTGCAGGAGGCAGCTGATCGATGTTTCTCTCTCATCGATGTTTGTAACTCTCTATCTCTCTCCCTTCCTCTCTGTAAAAAATCAATAAAATATATATATACATGCATGCTATCAATGAATGACCTTGTATGTTGAAGAGAGAGGGGTTATGTAACAAGCAACTCATTTCCTTCTAAATTTTGGAAGTACATTTTAACATCTGTTAGCACTTATCACAATTGCTCATCAATCACATACATATAATTATACAGATTTGGTAATTATTGATCAGCATAGAGAAGCCAAGGACAGACACACTGAGCTAAAATAAAACACCCACTCTGGTTCTCTCTATAAAAGAAATAAACAAATATAAGGTCTCCATTTTTCACACTTCCAACTTAAAAAATAATTCCTTATCTTGGTTAATAAGTGGAAAATATTTAAATATGCTGGGGGAGGTAATGCTAGTTTTTCAAAAGACAATGGATTTAGGAGACAGATAGCTGAAGTCTCAACTCCCATCCTCACCAATTCAATTCACAAAATTCAGAGCTCTATGAATGTTAGCAAGTTGTTAACATATGTAAAAACACTTCCGGATGTATACACTATTTAGCTGTGTTTTATAATGCATGGATTTGAAAGACATATA